CAGAGAAGGTGCCCGGTGAGGCGGGAGCTCCCCCCGCGCTCCCCGCATGGCCGGGAGGAGGGCGCCCCCTGCCGGCCCCGCCGGGCGGGGGGTAGGGAATTGGCACCTCTGGATCGGGCTGGGGAAGAAACGCTTGGAACGCAGGTTTCAAGAAATAAAAAGTCGGTGAAAAAAAGACGTGGGGTGCTGCTGCAGAGTGCGGTGGTTAAACAAATAGGAACACTAAACGTCCATTAAAAAAAAATGGGTCCCATCCTGCAGCTCGCTTTGGTGTTTCTACACATTTATAAAACTGTTTCTACACATTTATAAAGCTGTTTCTACACATTTATAAAGCTGTTTCTACACATTTATAAAGCTGTTTCTACACATTTATAAAAGCTACTTCCTTTAGAGAGAAGCTACCACTTCCAGCACGAAAAATTAAAGCTTAGCAGAGATTTTTCCAACAACTGTTTTCAACCCGTGTTTGCAGTGCCAGCTCTGGAGTTCAACCCTGGGAAGGAACTGCCCTCCAGTGCTTTAAGTTATGATACAGTTAATATTCTTTGAAAACTATTTTTGTCTGCCTTTCTCTAAATAGGTGGTTTCTTAAGTGAGTGTTACTTAAAGGAAACCAATCTGTTTTTCAGGAAGGGCTGATGATGTCAGTTCTTTCAACTCTGCTTTCCCATAAGAATTCTTCTAGTAAAAGGAGTTTTCACTCTGGGAAATACTGAAAAGCAACGTGAAAATATCTGAAGCATCTCAGAATGCATGTTTATCAAACTTCTAGTTCTGTGCTTGGATTTTAATCATGTTGCAACTTTAAAAAAGGAAGGAAAAGTGAGATAAAACCCTTTTGATTTTTAAGTTTAAAAAAGACTTTGCAATGAAAAAGGTGCTAAACTAAAATACTTATAAAGAGCTAAATCGAAGTCTGAAGTCAATATGCACAGAAAAACATGTTTTTTCATAATTGTAAATTTCTGTGCTCCATTTCAGCACAGGTATTAAATGTGAAACAGAACCACTGTGTGCTATTAATTGTCTTTTGGCAAAGCTACACCATCCAAATAAATACTTCAATCTCCAACAAAATGACAAGACAGATTCAGAAAGTATCATATTGTTATTGAATGTTTTTAGTAGGTGTGGGTGTGTAGCTATAGGGCAAATGTGTGCTTAATTTTCTATATTATTGTTTGTTCTGATACTGGAAATTCCTGCAGTCAACGACAGCAAAAACCTTCAAGTACAGCTAGAGAGGCTTTAATTTACTGGTGGTGCAAGAAATAACAATAATAGCATATCACCAATTTAATTTGCAGAATAAAAATAGTAAGAGTTATATACAGCTTTAAATCTTCCAAGTAAAGCATTGGATTTTTACAGCTAATGCTCCTTCCTATTCAGATACAGGCATCCTGAAGAGAACAGGGATATTTGTATAATAAAGGACATAGTTTTAACCTCTCATCCATTAATCCACACAATGTACCTGTGAGACAGGTCAGTACCATAAACCCCATTTTATAAAGGTCACATGAGGCCATATTCTACCCTAACGTTCAGCCCCATACCAGCTGATGTTGTAATAGCCTTATAATAATAAAAGCCCATAAAAGGATCCCAACCTAACTCAGATATTACTGACAAGGCACTCTGGCAATCCAATGGTATGACAAAAATACAGCCCTGCTGGATTAACAGACAGAATAACCCAAACAAAATCTGTGCTGGCTATAAAAGGTGCAAAGGAAATATCTCTTTATCATCCTCTATTTAACAGTTTACTTCATTCTGCTGAAAAGAACAAAGCCAAAGTATGATTCATTTGGAAATGAAATCATCCCCACCCCCAGTAAAGGCTTACATTGGGTGGGTAAACAGTTCCTAGGGTACTCCAACAAAACGTAAATATATTGCCTTGCTACTATATACACAGCAAACAGTTTCATTTGAAGACTGAGAGTTAAAAAACAAGTGAGAAAAATATTACAAAGTCTGAAGTCTGAAAATATTTACACGAACAAAAGCTAATCAGAAGTTAACATCAATAGGTTACAATTGCTAATCAAAAAAGGAAGATAACAAGCAAGCACTTCACTCACAGAAGTTCAGGCTTTTGGCCTCAGGTTTTACCAATGCTTTTGTAATGTGAAAGAAATATTAGGATTAACAGCAGTTTTTCTGACTTAGGGCTTATCAAAACCTTTCTCTATTGCAAAGGACATGAAAGAAAAATCAGGATGACACGACTCACACCAAAACATTTTCCAGAAATAAAACCAGTTTATTCCAATCTGTCACTTAATCTCCTATTTGTCCCAGTGTAACTGTGCTCTCTGGGATGTGATCTCTGGGTTTATGTCCATCATAATCAGCTGCATTTAGAGGGAAGGGAAAGTAAGAGAGGGAAGGGAAGGAAAGAAAGAGTTACTCTTCTTGAAGAAAAAAAACAGACTTCAAGTAATTCCAAACAAGGGGAACGCAGAGATTATTACTCTTGTTACACAGCACAGAGCTGATAGACAAAAATCAGCTGAATAAAATTTACCATGGGTCACACGGCCAGTTAGAAGAAAAGCAAAGAATTAAACCTAGAACTTCTCTTTTCTGTACTGAGTATGAACCTACATTCCTGTCACCAGACTGCCTTAACTCCTCCAAGCAAGAATAATTTAACATTATAATATGATAAGAAGCTGTTACAGTCTGAGTAAACACTTCTTAGTTCACAAATTAAAATAATCACCATTCTCTGGCTTATCCAGCTGCCACACACACACTAAATCCCTCCACTGAAAGTCACCATGAACTTCAGGTATCTTTTTTTCCAGGTTGATGATAAAAGGCTCTTTATAAAAGACATATAATATGGTTCAATCTCCTCCCTGCCTTCAGCCAGGTAAACTAAAATATTACTGAAACGAAAAAGCAGTGATATTACTAAAAAATGACAAAACAAACCATTGTATCTTTTTTCCTAAGATGCATTTCGAAGACAAGTCTGCTAACCCCTGAATACAATCCCCACAACTTTCTCATGGAAAATTTTCATATGAAGGTTTGCAAATTACCAACTTGTGTCCAGCTTCAAGCTCTTACACATTTGAAGGAGTGATGAGCACAATCCCCTCCTCTCACTGATTCTCAGTGTCAGCCTTCAAATGTAGCTGATTCTTTCACTGGAGTTAATTTTCAAGCAATTGTAACTGCACAAAGATCTGGGAAAGAAATTGATTTATTTATATTTCTAGAAAGACATTTAAAAAACCTGGAGCCTTAAAACTTTTCAGACACTTCATAAATGCTGCTGCTTCTCTCTCAGGAACTCATCCATGCATGGATTTCTCCTACCTAGAAAATCTGTCCACCACTGAGGATCACAGAGCAAATGAAACTGCTGTTACTTCTTCAAAAAGAGAGGGTCAAATCTATCCACAATTTTAAATGTACCTAAGAGTACTGCAAAGGCAACAACTTAATGCAATTTCCCTTGACAGAAAACAGAATTGGTGAGATGAAAACACAAATTGATAGTTCCTTCCTCTCTTCTACGTGATGTCAACAGTTAAAAGGGACTGGATATGTCTCAATAAACCTTCACAGCCCGTTTGAAGCCTGATCTGCTGAGCTGCTGTGCAATCATGAGAGAGAAAGTAAAATGGTAGATACCCCAATGTCTTCAAGGAGAAGGAAACTACAGATCACGTGTTGGGTGCCTTCCAGTGGCTCCAGGCAGAAAAGCATGGCTCCAAAGAGCTAGGCAGAAATCTTTGTTTAGGAAAGTTCAAAGAAAAAAAAAATACAGAGGCTTCTTCTGAGACAACTCTGGCCCCCTTAATAATCATCAAGTCATGAAAATATTCCTTTGATTCAGAAATCCCACAAAGGTTCTCTCTATAGCAGCAAAGATGTTGACTATGGCAGCACATAGTTGGGCTTTCAAGAGCTATTCTAATCCTACTCATAATGAAGGAAGAAGGACTGCTCCTTGCAATTTTTAATACACTCAGGCTGGAAATTAGCTGTACCAAATGGCTATTTAAGCTTTCATTTCAATGGAAGCTGGGACTTACTCTTACTAGAAAGGAGGAGCAAAGATACAGCAAATTCTGAACCCAAACCAGAAGCTTCTAATACAGACTTCACCAAAGCTAAGGGCAAAAAGAACAGCCAGGACAAAACTGAAGAAGCTGGGACAATGATGATTTTTGAAACTGTTTAGAACCTTCACCTCCATTTGGTTTCTGCAGGGGTCAATTCTTACAGATTTATTTTTTTTCCCATGGCACATTATTTGTCACATTGCTCACACACACACCAAAAAACAAGTGGCCAAAATCTATGCCATCAGCTTCACATTGCATAGTTCACAGATTTTCCTCATAAAGTACTTCTTGGGGATATCCAGATATACTTCCTGGTCACTAAGGCCAATGAGCAAGGAGAATTTTAGAAACTCCATTTGACTATAGACCCAGATGGCTGTCCTAGTGCTAGAGGGATACAAAACTTGATACCTGAAGACCCCGAAACTTTCAGTTTAGAGTGGAAATTATTAACACATCTGTGATAGCACAGCTTACTTAAGCAAATTGCAAAACTAGAGCCATCTTTCTGAAGTCCTTATGCCTTGACTCATTCCTACATCTGCATATGTTACCTACTTGTGCACAACACCTGCAGCACCTTATTTATGAGACTCATTTTTTAGTGGCACAAACTACATGGGCAAACAGAATGAACCAAATAAATTCTTGCTATCTCCAGTGAAATCAATGTTTCTGTTGTTCAGGCTGTCAGCAAATACTGCTGAAACATGAAGCTGGAAGAATATGAAGATACGCAGCTCAGCACCTCCAAAGGTATTTGGGAACAAAATCTTTTTGAGTCAGGCAGCCAGACAGCAGGTACTGAAACATCTTAGAGGACACAGGCATCAACGAGTTAAGGGGAAAGGTTCCTTGATAATGTAAAAAGGAGGAAAATCTCAAAAAAAAGAAAGGATTTACCATGGAGTGGTGAGCCAGATGGGCTGCTTGACAGGCCTGGAACTGGGCTACAGCGACCTCCTTGCTTAGATGTCAGTTCCTGCTCAATCTCTTCCAACCCTGCGCTCTTCTGGAAGCGGCTCATGCGATTGACCACCCGGGGTGACATGTGCGTCCGGACACAGGGCTGGCCTCCGTAGGGGTTGATGGGAAACACATGGGAAGTGCCACGGAGAGTGCTGACCACAACCCAGCGACAGTCGTGGCTGAAGGAGATATCCTGGACCTAGGAAACAGAGGAATGAAATGGGAATGCAGTCACCACTGTACACACAGCTCAACAAGGCAATGGATTTTTATGTTTTAAACACGTCTTGATTGGAAATGTGAATAAAAACCCCTAAGTTTGGGCAATAACTTGAATTTTGCATATATACCAATGAAGATAGCATTCAGTATATATTATAAATATAAGCCACAATATACTCAGTACATAACCAGTAACAAAATTTTCAAAATATTCTAAGATCTTTCTTTTCAACAAGCCTGAACTCCTGAAAACAAACTGTGCTGCAAAGTACTACAGAAAGCCACAAGAGCTTGGTGTAATTTTCAAATAGAATTTAGCTCTATAAAAAGAGCTGGAAAATAATTTCAACTACATTTGCTTGTTTACTTTAAATTTTAGAGATTATCCAGAAAAGGGGAAAGGGAGGGATGAGAATAAGAGAGGGATCTCACCACTGGGCCTGATTACTGGCACTCAAAACTGTATTTTAAGTCAATAGAAATACCCTGTCCTACATAATTTAACAAAACAAAAATCAATTGCCCATACTTTCAAAAGCTGCCCATAACTGTCTTTAATCCTGCTGCAATCAGTTTATCTCTAGGTGGAATTACCATTCATCCAGGTACCCCTAGACTGCTTTTTTTTTGTTTTAAAATTTTGTCAATACACTGAACAACTTTGGCCATTTCTCCACATAAAACCACTCCATTTTACACATAACAATCTTTATTAATGAGCTACTGAAGTCCCAGGAAAGACCCCAGTTGGATTTCTTCTTATGCATACGAGTACTTATCCACCACTTGAGAAATACAAGTCTTTTTTTAGCTTGAAATGGTCAAATATAAAAATACAGTTAATATAAAAAAATATGAAAAAAGAGTTAAATATTTTCTACTATAGTGGCTTGTGCATAGATCTCAGCTATGAAGTCCAGAAGGATTTAATTCTCTTTTAAGTGTCCTTTGCACAATGCTTTGATGGAAAGCAAATTCTTGTTCCTGAAGGAATGCTTTAAGAAAGAGATTAAAGTTTGCTTCCAACGCCAAACTGGCAGACAACTCAAAAAAACAAGTAGTCTAGGTTAAAATGATTTATCATACAAACAAAAAAATCCTAAAACAATTCTTACAAAAATGTTTTTCAAGGTAAAAGCTGACTAAAAAGACCCATGTACCCTAGTGGGATTTAACACAGCAAACAAACATACAGACGAAGGATTAGTTTTCACTGTATTATTAAACAGCATCAGCTAAAAAAATTATTTAAGATTTCACTGAAGCCAGTTTTACAATACACTAGGTACTCCAATTGGAGTAAACACTGATAAAATCTTGACAAATATTCCAGAAATGCACTCCAGCGATTCCAGACAAAAGCAGCAAGTATTCATCAAAGTGCAAGTTTCCAACTGAGCCCTGAAGCCTTTGAGATAAAAAAGGATTTAAGTCCTGTGACTTGTGACAAGATATTTGGCTGACAGACTGTCACGACACAAAATGCTTCATCAACATCACACAGATAAACTAAAAAACAGCACCACACACCTGCTCCTTTCAGTTCTGGTGACATACCCAAATGATCTGCTAATGATATAGCTAAACAATCTCTCCAAAATCTGACAGGTTTAGCACTTTCAGTGGTTTTGGTATTACTGACATAAAATTGCAGCACTTAGTGCTCCTCGTTTGCCTACAAAGTGTTTCACCTTAATAGATTGCTCAAAAAGGATTAGAGACCCCCCAGGGATTAACAAGAGCCAAAAAAAGAAACACCAAAGCTGTGGAGTCAGAGAAAAAATGATGGCACCAAGATTATTTAAATACTTGTTGTTTGAAGAGGCAATTTCTACTGGTCCAAGTCAAACATAAGCACTGTATAGAAAATGGCCATTTCAGTTACAACACAAAGATCACTAATATAATAAAACTATTAAAACTGTCAGAACATAATTCCAATCCTATCAAAGGGCCTGTTCTCTACTTTCTAATAACATGAAGAATGGCCACATTTGTTGTCCTCTGAACACATCACTGTTTTCCCAATATCTGGTATTCATTTTAGACCCAGATTTAACTTCCCCTCTTTATCCCTAAAACCTGTCCCCCTAAATCTCTGTCCCAGCCTCCAGAAAACAGCTTTTCTTATCCTTCCTCCTTGCTGTTCTGCTCTCTCACTACCTGCCTCCAACACAAGCTATTTAAGTCTTTCTCTACAGCTTCATGATCCTTGCAAAGAGTGCTCTGCTCTAAAACCACAGCTGTCTGGAAGGGACTTTATAAATCCCTCTGTGAACTGACATCTCTGAGCAGTATTTACAGGGCAGACCCAGGCACCCTGTGCCTCTTCAATCCCTTCTCTCCTGCACTTCAGCTGATGTCACAGCCAAATGCTTGAAATCACTGTTTTCACTCACATCTACCGCATACTCTCTCATGTTACTTGGTAGAGCATTTTTAGAGGACATTTCTATGAGATTATAAAGAAAAAAAAAAAAGTATCTCACTGTACTGCACAACAGAACTGTGTACATTTCTATGAGATTATAAAGAAAAAAAAATGTATCCCACTGTACTGCACAACAGAACTGTGTAAGTTTCTATATTAATACTCAGTTTTCTGTAAGCATCCTTAGGATTTATACTATTTTAAAAAGACATACGACAGCCCTGGCACGGGACGACAGAAGCCAAGAAACAGGGAAACAATCTATTACAGGATGTTTTTTCCCAATGTAAACATTACACGGAAAAAAAAATAAGTGATCCTGGTCCTCAGGAAGAAAGTTGGGAACAACTTAATCCAAAAACGCTCCCTTCAAAACACTGCTCAGAAACGCGCTGCAGTTGGAGAGTGAGCAGCATGGTCAAGAGCACTTAAAATATGGCTGAAGCCACAGAGGCAGAGAACAAACAGCTTTTTAAGACTCAGTAATAAAAAGAAAGAAAAGTGTTGACAGATGAGTGTGAAATGAATTAAGATTTATGGGAATACAGCTATGAAAGCCCACTCAGCAGTGACAAAGTATTTTGGGAGCTACCGTTACAAACGCAGTAATTCTACCCGTCTCCTACAGGTCTCAAAATTGGCCTCGTTGGTCTTTCACAGATAAATGATGAGTAGAAGTACAACAGACAGTTCAAGGAGGAAATTCAGATAATATTTCTGATTTATATAAGGGTACAAATTAAATACATTCATATAGAACCAGCATAATCCATCTGTGCGATGGAAAGGACTCGGTAACTTTCCAGTAGACCTGGAAGAAAGCAGTGGACCAAGCTGAAAGGAGAATGCTCATCATGGCAGTCTCAGAAGGGACTTCAAAAAAAGTCAGCTGTGTTTGTCCATGGAAAAAAAATATATAAATTATCACATCAGGCTTGCTGTTATCCACCACACTGTTACTGTACATTATACTGAGTTCTTGACTGCTTGTAGTATAAACAAACTGCACAGTGGCCCATTAGTGGTTTTCAAGTTTATGCTAAGCGTTGCAATTTATTGCTGTCCTTTAGGTTAATGTACTATTATTTCATGTATTTATAATATATTTCTGGATTTGTTGTTAATTATGATGTAATGTTTAGATACCAGAGATCAATCAAGACCCCGTGGTGTTTACAGATATATGTTAATAAAGTACAAAGTACACTAGATCTCTCACGATGCAAAGTTTATTCTATAGCTCAAAGTCAACACCAGATTTAATACTCATGTCTATATTCCAAAATTTTATCTATCCTTTTCTGTCTAGGCCAGTGAGGGAATTATAGACCTGAGATTTTGTTTAACTTGGGAACCCTTAAGATATTTTAAATTGCAATCCTAATACTTTTGTGGGAACATCAGTGCTTTCTCCTAGCTTTATTACCATTTCCTCCTCCTAGTTTGTGAGCAGTTTGGTTACTTAAGCTTCAAGCTACATTTCTTGCATATCCAAAAGTCTTGGTGAAATCCCTAGATACTTCAAGGACCTCAGTAGAGAACCAAAGCCTTTTCTGGCCCAAAGGAATGCACTTAAGACAACCACAGAATGTTGTAAGGATAACAGCATGTATCTTCCAACTCACCCATGGCTAAAGTGGGCTCTGTCACTCCTGTTGTACAGCAGGTCTGCAGAAGTTTTCTTCTTATTTAATAGACTATTCAGCTTGCTCCACAGATCCTCATCAGTACTTGTACCCATAAGGGATTCTGGCTGTCCAGACACCCAACACCTCTTATATTACTGTCTACTATCATTCTCAGTATTAATATTATAACTTTATTAAAATAAAAATTCTATATCCTCAGAAATTATCAGTACTCTGTTTTCAGAGTCATGGACAATATGACTATTGGCCTATCAGAAACAACTGAACAATGTTTCAATTTTTCTAGTAGGCTTTAGCAGGATTTGGAAAGAAATCACCCTTCTCTATGGAAAGGAAGTAACAATCTGAGAAAGGTTTTCTTAACGAGCTAGGAAAGAAACCTTTCTATGTATTATACAATGATTCTTCCATCATGTACCTTCCTTTAACATTATTTCTCTCACTTTTACCATTTGTTTCTTGCACCTCTTTCCATCAAAGCATCCACTTCTAACCTCCGTAACTCCTTTTCACTCTTGGACTGTCTTCTCCTGTTTGCCATCAATTGCTCTTCTCCTGTGCTTCTTTTTATCTTCCACTATCCTGTGTTTTGAACACTACAATGCAAAATCCTCCAGAAAACTGAATGGAAATTTAGCTGCCATGTTCAGAGTCTGACCTGAGTCAGACAGGAGAGTCCTACAAGGACATGCCATGTGTCAACAGCTCTACTGAGGATCAGCTTTCAAGGCTACAGATCAAAAAATTATTTCTGATATTCTGAAAATCTGGGTGTAAATATCTAAACCTAAGGCTTCAAAGCATTTTATAAAATGTAAAATTAGAAGTTTTTGCTATGATTTTTTACTTATTCCCACAGCTTCTCCAAATTTAACCACAATGTTAATTAGAACATAC